CACTTAATGTTAAACCACGATAATAAATAGGTTTTATATTTGATTGATTTAAACCTCGAATTAATGAACGAAGTTTATTAACATATAACCAATCAATATCATCAAAATTTGCACTAAGTAAATTTAAATTTGTTTTCATATAACATTCATTTGAACGACTATCTGTATAAGATTTAATAATATTTAACATATCATTATTTAATTCATGTTCATTTATTATTATTGGATAAATTTGTTGAAAATACGAACGATATGGATTTATTGTTAAAAGTTTACAATCAAGTGAATTTGTTGAATAATTATAATGAAAATGTTCTGTTTCATAATTTTCACTTGTTGAAGCTAATGTTTTTGGTAGATAGCGACTTGTTCGTGCATTAAAAATACAATCCATCACGCCGTCATGAAATATAAAAAAAGGCAAAAATAAAATATTGATGTTTGTTCATGGTGTAATTTCATCATTTTTATGAAATGTAGGAGAAAAAGGAATGACTAATTGTTGAAATTTTTCGGTTTTTTTTGTATGGTCATTCAAAAGTGAATATTTTAAATGAGTTCATTTCAAACGTTGATACCGGAATGTTCATGAAGAATATAATGTAGGGATGAAAGAAAAGAAAAAAGAATTAACATCACAACCCTGCGGAACAAACTTCTTCGGGTCTGCTATCCCTAAAATTCGTTCTTTAAAAACTTGATTTCGTTGAGAGACTATAAAAATAATTAACAGCTGAGAGTTTCCTTATATGACTATTGTTGGTTCAGAATCTTTATCTGTTAACTTGTCAGCTGACGAGAAAACCTCTCCGAGTGTGTTAAATCGATTTTTCGGCCAAGAGGATATTCATTTGATGATTACTACAACAAAAAGTTGTGGTCTCCCTCAGGTCACGTGATAAAATCGATTTTCAAGTTCTTTCTGGAAATGTAAATTTACTTTTGCAAATGAGAGAATTTCGAACACGTCTAAATCTAGTATAAGTAGTGTAAGTTTTTTTTTCGAATATGGAAACATTGAATTTTTTCATGTCCTTATTGATTACTTCTACAACATGAAGATGACTGTTCGGGCCTGTATTCACGGGCATCTGTTTATGATCATTCAAAATACGTTGCAAAACGATTCATAGATTATGTCTGCTAGGAAATTCAATTCAATTGAATACCTGTCATATTTGACCAACGTTATGTATATTGATGGCTTAAATACGTTCAATTTTCATCTTGTATTAAAATGAGAGTAAATGCCATAAACGTAAACATGATAGTGATAATATTCGATCATGTATGACTCGTGATAGTTAGAAACAAATTTTTAAAGAATCTACAATCCTGTGTTTTTTTGTATTATTACAGATGCACAGCTACTTTCAAAATTTGATTTATAATATAAAATATGGAATCTACATCAGTTGTACTTAAGTATGCTTTCTCATTTCTTCCTCTTTTTCTCCTTGTAATTTTATAGAAGTAGCATAATCCTAATGCAAGTTTCACTACTTAATGTGTTGCAGCATGAAATCTTCTACTTCCATTTTGCATTTGATTTGAATCAATTTCAATAATTTAATCCATTACAAAGAAGATGCTTATTTGAAAATTTGATATGGAACGAATCAAATTGGAACATTTACTATTGATATACGAAGCTGTTTCATAATAGAGTTTTATAATAAATTAATATACATCATCAAGCATTGTTCTTTTCAGAACACATCTTACTATCAAGTCAAATCAGATTGTGAACAATTTCAAAACAAAAAAAAAAGTTTCGTTTGATTCTCATATAAATGATTGTTCATATCTATGAAATTTGTTTCAAAATTCTTTCAAATAAATACCAAAACTTTTGCAATTAAATATTTAGAAAAAAAAATTTGTTCATTTTTGATCCACTGGATAGCATTTCCGATAAGTTCAAAGCTGCAAATTACACAAAGAAAATAGTTGAGACAGCAAATTTTTTCGCACACTTTTTATTTTCACGACTGGAATTTGAAAGTAAAACTGAAGATTTTTATTTATATGTTAGCTTCTAGATCAGGAACTACTTGTAGATGCGCAATATTCTGATCCTAATTCGTCGGAAATACTTTCTAGTGGATCCAAAGTGAACAAACATGTTATAAAAAAAAAAAACTTTTCGATCACCCGTTATCATCATTCTAAGTTGATTTTGGTTAACGAGATTGATATGAAAAATAATTTCTTTTAAGAATGATGAAGTCCTGCAATGAGTTTGTATATGTTAGATCTGATACATGTTGTTTACTTCAGTTATTTTATCAATTACTTTTCATCCTGAAAATAAATAATCTTAATCTTTTTTCTTAGAATCACAACATATCTATGATACTAATGCATACTTCTAACTACACAATAATATCAATTTAAGATCAAGAATAATGTTTTCTTGACTTTTAAAAGAACAGAAAAAAAGAATATCTACATGTCATAATAGTTTAACTTTGATAAACAATAGACAAAAAATAAGTATGATAAATGCATGTGTGTAATTTTTTTGTTTTCAACCAACAACACAAAGTTAAATATTAGAGATGTTATCATCAATTGTATTCTTCTATGTCATTTTCCTTGTATCATTATCTCTTTCGACTAGAATAAAGTTAAATCATCGACCATCAGTTGGAGTTATTCGTTGGGATGCTTGGAATTTAGTTAATGGTCAATATGATTCTATTTCGTTTTATTTACATCGAGCTTTAAGTCCTGAAAAATTTCATTATCGTATTCCATTTTATGCATCAGTTCTTTCACCTACAAATATATCTTTTAATGGAGATTTACAAAGTGTTATGGATCAAGAAATTCTTTATGCTCAACATGCTGGTATAGATTATTGGGCATTTGATACATATTGTCAATTTGGAATAAACTGTACTACTAATAATACATATTGTACTCAATATTATAAACAAACATCAAATCAATATTGTCCTCAAAATCCTACTTATGGATTAAATTTATATCTTTCAAGTGTATACAAATCTTTAGTAAATTTTACTCTTATTTTATTAGGCTCTTCACCGTGTGATATAACTTTTCAACAACATTATCTTGATCTTATGAAATATCCACAGTTTCAAACTGTATTAGGAGGTCGTCCACTATTGTATTTATTTCAATTTGATGATGCTGAAGCAGATATTTGTGGAGGTGGATGGTTTGGAAGTGGATTAGTATTTCAAAAATTTAGACAAATGGCTATACGTCAAGGTAAATTACAATTATTTTCATATATTACAACTAAATTATTTTCCTTTCTTTTGTTTTTTTTTCCCAAAGGTCTTCAAAATCCCTATATGGTTTTAATGGATTTTAATGTTGCAACAGTTCAATCACATGCTTCAATGCTTGGATTTGATGCAATTTCAACATATGCATTACCTGGTGGAATTATTGATGTAAATAAATTTCTTCTTAATCATTTGATATTATTTCGTAATTTTTAGGGAACTCCATTTGTTGAATTACTTCATTCAGCTCAACAGTAAATTGAAGACGATTTGAAAACAAAAAATAAATAAATCTTAGAAATATATGCAATTTATTCTAGATGGTGGCAATCTGCTCATGACATTGGAGCTAAAATGGTACCAATAGCTCCTACAGGTTGGGATCCACGACCACGTGCTGAAAATCCTGTACCATGGGTTATTGAAGGACCAGAACATTATATTCAACCATCAATTGAAGAATTACAAGAATTAATTCGAAGTGGAATTAATTTTACATGTAACTATAATCAAACAGCTGAAGCACAAACAATTATTATTTATGCATGGAATGAATGTAGTGAAACTAGTGGTTCACTTGTTCCATCTATGGGAAATGGAACTCTTTATATTGATGCTTTATCAAAAATTCTTCCGATGTATTGCTAAGAACAAATTATATTTAAATTTGTTTTTTCTAAAAACACAGACTTTAATATCTATCTGTAGTCGATGATGTATGTGGTATATAAGCATATACAAAACCATTTCATATATTTAACACAACTATTCTTATAATTGATGGTTGTGCTTCTAGTTTACTAATTGTTATTATTATATGTTCTATTTTTCGTCATTGTAGAGATATGTCAAAAGAAATCTTAATTTATTTGATAGAGATGAGAATAACACGTTATTTCTTTTGCTAATCCTTCTGAAAGACTTATCTGACGTTCTGCTGAAGAACAATTACATGATGTTAAAGCTTCGACAGGTTTATTCTTGCTTTCAATAAGTCTTAGTTGATGTTAAACTGTATAAACGAAAGAAGATCCTTTTAACCCTGATACGCCTACCTTTCAAACTACTATTTATTGCTCACCTACGATCCGTTAAGATTTGACTAGAAGAAGAACGCAAAGAAAAACAGTAAGTTTGTATTTGAGTATTCCACATACATTACTAAAAATGCATGACTCGAATAAATGTAACAAATGCATAATATTTGAATAAATCACGCTGGGTCCAGGCGGATCCTACACAGTGAGTAACTTTCATGCTCGAAAACAATTTCTGTTAGAAAATATTATCTGCGGCATATCATCCGATGTAGTTTCACTCCACGATTATGAAGATTGCCATAGTTTAACGACGTTAGATCTCACGTGGAAAGATACTTCCTAAAAGTTTAAGTTCAATTGAATTAAAGCTGATTATAATGTTTACAAAATCGCGAAACCCAACTTTTAAGAAAGCTTTTAGTATAAAAGTCAAAACCTTTGAAAAAAAAAATCCTTTTTATTATATATGGCTAGATGCAGCGCGATGGGATTATTCTGAACTAAATGATGCCCTATTTGCAAAAATTGAGACTTGGGGACAAAAACCCAATTTTTGCTAGATTTTATATCATCGGCTGTACGCATCAGTGCAATGTGGCGCTATGATCAACAATGAACTAGATATGGAAGAATAATCTAAAATAGCTTGAGACCAATCGGACATAAATTTTTTTGTATATTTACAAAATACAGTATCACCGATTTGTCGAGATACTTTCGACCAAGTAATCGCGTTTTTCTATTTCAGTTCTGGACAACTTATTTTTGAAGTAAGACATATTAATCATAGATGTATTTATTCTAATATTTGAACCGCAGGTAGTCGACAAATGATTCATTCACATTAATACGATAAGGCTTCATTGGCTTACATTATGAGCATATCGAAAAGAAGAGCTGTTTCATCTAATATTGTTTAATTATAACAGTATGATAGAGCTGGTTGACCAGAGTCCAAATGGTTAATCTCAAATAATATGGTACATTTTACTTCTTAATTTTAGTAATTCTAAAACATGCCGAGCTAATCAAATAATAATAATAATAATTCAATATATTATTACTTTCAAAATCTCTTAATTTATTAACGTGAACTACTTCAAGGTCAAATATTGATTTCAAGTCTCTTGTGTAAACATTTACATAAATATAAATCTTAAACCTATCGATCCATAGCTATTTCCATTATAAAGTTCATCAAAAAGTAATTAACTGTAATTTGTATTCTAAAATACAAAATAATTATTTACATTATCTCAATGAATTGTCATAACAAATTTGTTAGAAATGATTCTACAAATACATGCACACGAAATCATTTTTTTATGAGTCATGTGTTAAATTATCACTCGTCTTCTTTCTTTTTTTTTTCTTCTTTTCTTCACATGGAGATGCAACACATAAGTGCACATGATGCAAGCAAAAATAAGAATCTTATTGATGTGTCACTAAATTGTGAAATAACATGGAGAAAGCTTTTTTCTTTTTTTTTTTTTTTCTTCCGTATTTTTACGTATGTTTTTGTTTATTCGAAGACATGAGTGACTGCACTACACAACATCGTTCGACATTGGAAATATTTCCTGATGAACTCTTTTTTGAAATTTTTGAATATATTCCTTTAAATAATTTATATCGAGCATTTTTTGGTCTTAACAAACGAATTAATATAATTCTACAAAATTTACCAAATCTATTTGCTGAATGGACAACACATAACGATGATAAAATAATTGATATATTTTCATCATGTATTAATCGACTTGTTATTTGGCGTGGAGGTTATTTAAATTTAAGTCGTTTTACTAAATTACATTCATTAAAATTAGCTTTACCAACAATTGAACAATGTAATGAAATTCAACCATCATTAATACTTGAACATTTACATATTGAATCATCAGTTAATTCACGTACAATAACTGAACAATTATCAAATTTATTTTTAATAAATTCATTTCCACGTTTACGTTCATGTCGAATTGATGAAATACAATTTGATAAAAATATTTTTCATTCAAATTTAACACTCCTATCATTAATTACACGTACACAACATCCAGCACGATTACTTTCATTATGTCCTATGTTAACATATTTACGATTAAATTTAAAAGATAATATTAATGATTTTCCATTATTTGATATTCATTTAAATCTTCGTCATCTTCAAATTGGTATTTATTCAATTGAAATAAATCTTTCAACAATTGAAACAATACTTTCATTAACACCAAATTTAGTTCGATTTACACTTGATGGTCCTTGTATTACGCCACCACAAAATAAATTAGATATTTGTTCATTAGCATCTGTATTTACTCGTTGTTTATCAAAATTACGCTCTATTTATGTTAGTCTTCCTTTAAATGATAATCAATCAGATCCAAAAGAATTTGAAAATGAAAAAGAATTATTAAAAAAACTTCATCCACTTTTTAATAATATCATATTTCGTCCACGTTCATATTATGCACCAGGTCGATTGCTTATCTCATCAATAATTGATAGTAAAACAGTCAAATCTCATATAGACTGAATCTCAAAATTTTATAAACAATAAAAAGTATAAATTGTTTTCTTTTGTTTAATATGAAAAATGTTGAAAAACAAAATATACATATAAAATTTATTATCATGTTCAATAATGTTCTTTTCATTTGGTTTGAAAATTTTCCAATCGATTAATGAGATGATATTTTAATATGGAAATTCTGCTTTGTTTTCGAAGAATATTTCTATTATAATGAAACCAACAACTGATTTATTTAAACAATTATTTTCAGCAATTTATATGAGATTAGCAACTCAAAATTTCACCGTCTCTTTTTTGACCATTCGTCGATCTCAAAGATGGTACAACAGATAGAGTACCAAAAATAAGGAGACATGTGTTTGAGAAAAAAAAAATGTTTTTTTTTTCGGAAATTCTGGTTTTTCATAGGACCGTATCCTGATGATTTACGATCTCCATATAACTTTGTTCAATCGGATTGACATTTTCATTACAGACACTTGGAAGTATTCTTTAGAGGGATAACTGAATTTACAAGCCAATATCGAGCATCTACATATTTCTCTCATGAAAGAAAAAAAAAGAAAGTGCGAGTTTTAGATATCTCCCAAAAAATTCTCAGCCCAAACCGATAAAGTTAGATGACGGTTAACAAGAAGGAGGGTAACCTTAAGCATTTTAGTAGAAATACACTTCCAGGTTTGCATGAACAAAGTTCTCAACCAGTTTAATTCATTGAGCAAGTTGTTACTTTTCTCCTATCCTGAGATAAACTAATCTCATTAAGAACTTTGTTTTGTACAAACTTTCAAGTTTGATTAGAAAATCTAGTGCATATTAATCATATAGAAAATTTGAAATCAATCTAGAACATTATAAACATCAGTATTTAACGTACATGTTTGAGTTTTTTTTTTTTTTTTTTATTAAATCATGGTCTATTTTAGATGAAGGATAAACTTATTTTAGAACAACTTCCAAATGAAATATTTCAAGATTTATTTGAATATTTTGATATTTGTGAATTATATAAAACATTTTCTCAATTAAATTTTCGTATTGAATCATTATTAACAAATTTTAAATATCTTCAAATAATTTTTTATACACCTGAAGATATTGATTATCGAGTTAATCGATATTTTTTACCTAAAACAAAAACATTGATTATTAATCATATAAAAAGTTTTTATGATCCAATTAAAATAAGTTTATTATCACATATTCGTTGTTTAATACTTTGTCAGCCAACACGTGAACAATGGAATTCAATTCAACCATTATATTTTCCATATCTTGAACGTTTATATTTAATAAATTCAAGATTTGTTTATCGAACCGAACAACTTTGTTATTTAATTTTTTTCAAATAAANTATTGTCGGTATTTCGAAGTAGAATATCATTCATTATTGAAGCGTCATTGTTCTTGATATCCGAAAAAAAGGGTCCAATACACGCAACTATATATCCGGTTGTTGTTACTATCATCATTGGCTTGAGTAAAGATCTTTTCTTATACAAATTGAAGGTTTTTCGTTGAAATTGATTGTTGCGCGATTTCTAAAGCGTATCTATAGTAAAAACTAACTTAAAGGGGGATAAACTTATTCCTCACCTGAATATAGATATACGTTCCATCAATAACAACGATCGCTGTAGCAGAAGCACCACCACACATCAATTCTCGGGCAATTGTTGTGGTGTGATGGTTGATAACATCATGACGCGTAATGTGCTCGAATCCCAAATTGTAGGGCACAAAACTTTTTAAAATAGCTTGACGAGCACTGTCAATAATTCGGGATACTGTTTTTTTATCTGGCAATTGAAACATGCATGCCAACATACGATTTGATAAACCGAGACGAATTTTACATAGATAAATACCGATCGCCGTTCGTATAGATCGGTTAGATGAGTTACGGATACCGGATGATGAAACAGTTTCAACAAATTCATTAAAATCATCTTTTGAAAGACTAGTCAATAAACGATATTCATCATCTGTTAAACCCAGTAGATCATCGAAATTAAACTTTTTATTTTTATTTTCAAATATTATTTGGGATTTGTTTAAAAGAAGTTGAACATCAGCAGAATTTAATTCTTGTTGTCTTATCGACACCGGCTTGATTTGATCAATAGCTTCTTGTTTTAATTGGTGATTAACTAAATGATCTGAACAGCATCGTGCTCCCTCCGGAATCCATATATTACGTGTAAAAAATATAAAATATCGATCTTCTGATGAAATATTAGCTGCATTTTTTTAAAAATCATCCGAACAAATGCAACAGTTCCTAGAAAATGATATTAAACTTTTTTTACAGACAGTTATCTTTATAATTACTTGTGCGAAGATGAAGTAGAATTTAACTGTAATTTAACTATTTCTTTTGTTACAACATTGTTCAAATCCCTATTCATTTGTATTGATCGAAACGACGAATCGTCAACTTGAACATCCATATCAGTACTCTTTCCAACAAAAAAAATCAAATATTAAAAACGCAAGAGGCAAAATATTCACCCAATCATCATCAAAAGAATTCACGTCAACCATATCAGATTCCAAGCGAGACAAAATAGTTCCAAATTCGGAGTTTTCGTTTTTCCATTTGTTGTACGAATGACGACAAATATTACAAATTTTCGTATCACTTGTAACGAATTTCAGTGTTCGAATAGATATAAACATTCGCATACATGGTGATTTTAAAGATCGCACAGCAGAGCTACGATCCAAACGAGCACCGCAAAGACAATAACGATCACCCATTACCACAAACTTTTAATAGACAACTATTTATTGAATGAAAAGGCAACAAAAACGTAAGCGCTAGACGACACGTGTCCGCTATCCCAATATACCCATGGCATTCAAATACAACGCGATCTTTTAGAAAATAATCCAGAGCCGTAAACCATCGCATCAAATCATATCCCCAAAAAACAACATCATTAAAAAATATCCATCAACAACATGTATGTCACAACCAGTAATATCAGCTTCGCCAGACCATACACCTATATATCGTCTTTCACTTTTTTCCATATATTTTATCATCATTCGATAGATTTCGATCAGATCTATCATTTGAAATACAATTCAGCGTGGATCTACATGCAGAAGATAATGAAAACTTCTCCACCGTCATTATAACATACATGTATACCTTACAATGTTTCACATTATATTCTTTGTTTCAACTACTAGACCCTCTTACCCACTTTTATCTCCACATATTTTATCACCAATCGACAGATCTTGATCAGATCTATCGATTAATAAACGATCCAGAGTGGACCAACATGTTTCAGAAAGTGAAACACCCTCCACCATCATTATATCATATATATATTGTATAGAATACAGGACCTTTTTCTCATTGTGTACACTAGTACACCCCCTTACCCACTTTTTTCTCCATATATTTTATCATCAATCGATAGATCTTGATCAGATCTATCAATTAATAAACGATCCAGAGTGGACCAACATATTTCAGAAAGTGAAACATCCTCTACCATCATCATAATATATGTGTACACCACGCAAATATATATAGTGAGAATGAAGTGTCTATATGAAAGATGGTAATTGATCTATGTTTTGTCTTATGTTTATATCTCATTCGATAGAGAAAAGAAAGATCTTTAATTTGATATATAAATCAAGGGAATATGAAAATGAAATAGCGAAGCAATAATCACTAAACCACCATCTACATTAGTGCTTTTTCAAGCATATAACATAGAGAAAAGAGGAGTAACTAAATCGAGTTGGGTACAATGTGGAATGAATTAAATTGTCTAATTTCGATAGAAATAGAGTTCTGGCACTGAAACTGACAAAATTAGAAAAGCAAAGTCGAATTCCGACAGGGGGCCGTTTTTGCTTCTTAACGCCCCCCTCCTTTATGACAGAAAACAAGCATAAAGTTTTTCATGTTAGGTGAAACTGAACGATTCATTCAGAACAGAAAACGAAGTAATATTCCAATTAGATGCTTAGCTTGTAAAGATAAGTTGATAGTCAACAAAATTTTTCAAAAAGATGACGATTCCATCCAGATGAATGCATACAAGCTGGTTATGTGTGAGAAAGTTGAAAATCGATGGAAGATGGAAACAATATTCCATTGAGAAAGTCTTTGATTTTTCCTGTGACTTTCAGGCAATTTTCTGTTATTTCAGACAGGCAACGACTATAAGTCACGAAAAATATCCGGAAATATTTCTGTTCAACCTAACCCACACGACTCATACCCAAATCTTTAAAAATATTCACCAAAGAACTATATGATCAAGTCTACTAAAGGAAGCTTCATTTCCAGCAAAAGTTCCCCGTCGGTGTAGGTGTGGAGTGTGGTTGTTTCCCTACAGATTTACCATATACCCACACCCACTCTCAAGTTGAGTTCCGTTGAAGCAAGTTTCAAATTGAAGTTAAAAATTTAAAGTCAACTTAAACTTCTCATTAAGCGAAAAATCGTGATCTTTTACGCCAAGAAGCTTCATGTTTATCAATCTTGATAACGATATAGGATTAGAGATCGATCATAAAGTAAGTTGATGCTTACTGTCTGAGAAAAAAAACCCAAGGTTGATGACAGTTAAATAAAGTTAATCGGATAACTTAACCTTAACGTGTTATCCATGGGTGAACTATTGTATTGCCTCTATCTCAAGACCATATCAATATGAGATGCTGAGATTTTAGTCGGGTGTGAGTGTGGATCTGTATCTAGGTAAAAAACACTCGCATACATCCTGTAAAAACCTATTCTTCGCTATTTTGGAACAATCGTAGGACTTATTATAGTACGCAAACTTTTGAATGGTAATAACTTGTCACTTTTTTCTATAGTCTATATCAATGAGGATAGGTGTAGGTGTCGGTATAAGATTTCTCTTCGGTAACATCAAACATCCACATAACAGATATCTTTCAATTTTAAAACAATACGAACACTTTTTATTTCAAGAAAAAAAATTTTTTCAGCCATATTCTCAGCCTTATTAGAATCTTCAAGTTAGGATATTGTGATCATACGTGAAGTACGACCATATGATCAGAAAATCCTTTTCATACAAACGATGTTGCTTGGATAGTTGTACCCATGTCGACATATTCATTTATACAGGTAAAAGAGCAAAATTAGAGATTATGATTTTTAATCATATGAAATCGTCTGAAATTAGTGAAAAATAGCGTTTGATACGCAATTCAATGCATCCTACAATCTGGACAGATCAAAAAAATAATTTGATGGAAAAAGGTTCTCATTGCAGTAAAACAGTTTTCCAGAACTTTGGAACTCTGAAGATCTCGCAGCACGAGATATCCTGCTACTCGTATTCGGCATGGTCGATTATCTATCATTCACTAGGTTTAGACTCTAAAGTGATATATCACTTGGATATGTTCTCTCGTAAGTACGTTCTTTCTCATGATGTACGCTGAAGTTCGTTTCCAATAACAGGTGAAACTTTACTTGTTATGTGCAATTTATTTAGAGGACTCTAAGATTCTTTGAAATATATAAACGACAACGTTCATGCCTAGAAGTAGAGACTCTTAGATTTTTTCTACAGATAAATCGAAACGCAGATAATATTGGTCGTTCAAATTTCATCGGCAACCACAAGCTTTGAATGATTGAATAGTGACATCGAAAATATAGAGTAATTCTACATAACTTGAAACAGCAAAATTTTCGAAATAAAACTCAACAAAAGTCAAGAAGCAAATTTTAGTCAGTAATATTTATACATGTTTAATAACATTTCTATCATAAATTACAATGTTGCTGAACACTTTTAATATACAATGAAAAGCAAAAATGTTTTAAAATGAATTTCGCTTGTTCCACACCAAGATATTAACATTCGAATATCAACATAGTATCTGCTTAATTTGGAAGAAATCTTTAAAAACAAAAAGAACATTAATAATAATCAAAAATAATATCAATCATACTTTTCACTTCCGCAAAGTTTTGGTGAAAAATTCAACTGCTCTGACGAAAAATGATCAACATATGAAGCCATTTCTTCTGGGAATATACGAAAAACATTTACTAAAAATAAAATAAGCGAAATCAATATAAAATATTTACCATATAACAAACCATATTTATTGATTATTAAAAATTATATAAATACAACATAGTTTAGAACGCTTGTTCTATTATTGCAGATATGATCGCTTGATCAACATGTAAAAATAGAACGACAAAAAAGAAATATTATCATAGTCTGTTCAATGATGCGCATTGGTCACATGGATAGGTATGAATACTTTATTTTCTGCCATTGATGAATAGATGTATTTAATAAATAAAATGAAGACACATATTCTCTTGACA